ATTTTAGGTGGTTGATCGGGTTAGAGTGGAAGCTTTTAATTTAATATTTTATAAATTATAAATCGAAAATTAAAAACAACTATTAATTAATGTTATGTACTTATGCTTATTGTCTGTTAAAATTAAATAAATTCAAATGGATATTACTAAACTGTATTATCGCATTCAAACCACACAAATTAAAATAAACAAGTAAACAACGATTAGAATGATATATCACTATACTGTATATAGTTATCATTATTTTATACAAATAGAGGTATAGCCTGCAGTCATGTTCTAAATAATTGAAGAATTTTTCATTAAAAAATATATATTAGAGAATGAGTATTAAAAAATTACCTAGAATTTGTAAGCTATAATATTAATAAATACAATTTATACATTGGTAACTACATCAAGGCCAGTCCCAACAGCGATGAAAAATCTTGATATCTACAGGCATGTAAAGGCTATTCATTGCATGTAAAAACATATAAACACATATTGTATGGTGGACGATAGTTTATGTACAATAAACGTATGTTTTAAACCCTTTTTTCTTTTGTATTTGCTAAACTCTGCAATTATTATATTAACGCCCCGAGGCACATAAACCTTTAATAGTTTAATACTGCCGCTAATGAGGAGATAACTCCAATTCATAGTTAGCAAACAAATTCATTTTAAACACAAAGTATTACTAATGGAAAACAATAAAATTATCATAAAATCATAAGCTTGAATTAAATTACACAGAGTTCATTTTTCGAATGCAACGATACACAAGTGTTTTGTAACCCTCCCCCTCCCGAACCGTGGCCCATCCAAAAACCAGTTTTTCGTATCCCGTCTGAATTTGGTTGACACTAAGTATGTGAGTGTTGTGTTTAGTATCATATATTCATATGCTTTAAACTATATAGAAATATATAATATTTATTGATTTTAATTTTCTGTTTTAAATATATTATAACGAATACCGTGTTCATTAGTAAACACGAGGCTATATAGTATATTATAGTGTGTCATGAGGGATTATCTTATTAGTTATAATTTATAATATGTATTCAAAAGTTTGTTTGAAAGAATAATAATTTAAAAATTTAAATCTGTTCAATGTTCACAATATTATATTATGATAACTATTTTTCAAGGCATTTACAGAAAAAATATTTGTGCATTATTTTTTTACAATATTTATATTTTTTTGTGTTAAAAGTTCTTAGATTAAAAGCATAAATATAAAATAAAACAATTTCCAAAAATTAAATCTTACACATTTAAAATACACAGAAGAGTCATAGTAAGTATAAAGTATAAATATTCAAATAAATAATATTCAAATAAAAAAATGTTGATTGTAATGTTTTGTATATTGTCTAAACTATTATAGAACAAATATTAAATGCGATAATATTTTTATTTTTTTCTGACATTTTATATAGGAACATAGGTAGGTACGAATATAATATAACTACAAATAACGAGTAGGTAAATAAAATAAAATATTATGTTTCTTTTATATATTTTAATATTATATATTTCCTATGACACTAATGTAGTATCAAGAACCAAGTACCTAAGTACCTATAGGTACTATAGTAAATAAAATAAGGTACCTACGACAAAAAATGTACTACACATAAATGTAACTATATTATAAATACTATTGTACTACATAATCTATAATCTATATATTTATATGACATTATATATTAAATTGTTGAACTTTCAAAGTTTTTTGCAAGGACTTGAATTCGGACCAAATTCGAATGTTTAATATGGGTGCGATGGATATTTTTAAAAAAAAACTTTGACTCATTATAATATGGTCTTATATAGTGTAAATACCAAAGGTTTTTGAAAACATTCTGTCGGTTTTTAAAACCGTTTTTCATGTTATAACGTTTTCTACTTAGCATAACGATAACATAATACCAAAACACAAAATATAAATAACATCGTCTTCATCCGAAGCGTAAGACATTATGCAAAACAGCTTAGGGCGTCAGTCGGTGCATCTATAGTGTATATAGTATATCTAAGGAGTCGACGAGTCGTTTGTAAGAAACCGGTAGAAAAATGTTACTTTCGCCGGAGACCTGCAGGTACGACCTACCAACCTTATACCGGCTATTAAATGCAACGTACGGCAACCTAACCGTGTTTGTTATTTATTATTAAGCTGCAGTATACGACCAGAATAATATTATGATTATAAATGCAGGTATACAGGGTGTATGAAGAAGATCTGACAATAACTTTGTGTTGAAATTATGTTTACGATTTACGTGATGCGTTAATTTGGGTAGGACAAAACGTTTGGTGTGTGTATGGAAAGCAGTCGGTAGAGCAGTACGACGAGAGTGTTCGAACAGCGATCGCGTTATATTCGTGCGCGGGCAAGATAACAACACTACGGTGGCGGCGGCGGCGGCGGAGGCGCACGGCGGTCGATCATCATCATCATCATCATATTATTATTATTAAACGTCGCTGCTGCGATCAACAGGAAATAACAATTATTATAATATATTATTATCATCAGTGCAACTATTATTATTATTTTTATTACTACTTCTACTATTATTATTATTATTATTATTATTACAAAATAAAACCGCGTGATATCACCGTGTGCAACATAAAATACTGTTCACGGCGGTTAGACGGCCGTCAGTCGCAGTGCTTAATCGTATTATATATGTGTGTGGTGGTCATAAACGCGTACACACCGAACCACCACAGTCGTTATTTACCAAAATCCAACAATATAAAATATTATAATGTACTAAGATACCTATTATAATTATTATTTTTACTGTCATCCTCGTCGTCGTCAAGGTGTGTATACAAGTTTCGTAGAAAATATATACGAACTCTGAGATCCGATTTTATATTGTTATGAACGAACGATATTGTTAACAATAATAATAATCATTATAATTTTTGTAGTTCACGAGTGCCGAAGACAACGCGAAAACACAAGAACTTAGGAAAGATCTTGTGGATTGAATAAATCCGAATCACCGTCAACGTCCAGAATAAACAAATAAGTAAGTGTCAAGTGTTACTTAGATACTTGGTTGCATTTAAAGTAAATTGTCTGTACAAAATGAGAAATTTTTTTGGGTAAATACCACACAATTTAAAATACCCAAACATTTTTTTTCAACCATTTTAATAAAATGTGTCTTCCCTCCTTTGTCCCTCGTATCGTATTTATATATTATTATTATTATTAATTTTTTGGCTTTATTATTACCATGCATTTGATGGGCACATCAATGAATTCATTTTTATTTTCATGCCTTCTATAATTTTGCAAGTCACAGAAATACATTTTATTTTTAAATTAAATTAAAAATAATCGCTTTTGCTGTACGCGTAATATATAGCTACTTGGTATATCCGCGGGGGCTTGGACACGGGACCAAACTCCCTCTTAATCCAGACTCGCCTGTTGTACTTATATGCACATATATTATAGTCTCAATGGAAGTTACGCCTTGCATGTGCACATACCTCCAAACATAATATTATTAAAAACAACAAATCTAATACGAATGCTGGTATTATTTCAATATTATTGTTATTTTAATATTATAACTGCCCTGTGGGTATAGTCGATTTCATCCATGGTTCTGTACAGACTCTGCCCGTGATTCTATACCTATATACATAATACATAGTTACGTATAGTATAATGTAATTTATTTATATATGTGCATGTACGATGCGCGTTTAGTGGTTTTTAATTTCATAATTTATCATATTATTTATAAAATATTCACAAGCCAATAGGTCGAATGGAATCGCCGCTGCAACTTCAGAGTGCGGAAATGTCGCCGTCGATTTCTCTCATTTACCATTTCACCGAGCGCAACCATTATAATATAATAGACTTCCGGTCTTGCACGGTTATTATTATTTCAGCGCTGCGCAATATTATCGCGTCTGTGTACATATTCGCGCGTTCAAATATTTAAACGACATTGACAAAGTGCAGCGCAAAGTTTAACAACAATTGAACAATACGAAGCTAAAATAATTAATTAATCACGAACCGGTAAAATCGACACGGTGATGGCATCTAGCGCACACGTGGTACGGCACTGGAGTCTCAGGCTTGCGTATAAAGTATAAGTTCTCCTTAAAAATTTCACCGCGGTGAGCGGAACAAAAGTCTTACACAAAATGTATCACTATTTTAAAATACATAATATATTATGTACGAGAAATCCAGACGAATAGTTCTCACACGCGAACGAGTCGGACGGACGGCTTTGGTCCTTAGTTACGTTAGATACCTGATACATGCACAGTTGATTTTATGCTATATGGGAATGGGATATGTTTTTGATTCAAAATTACCATGCATTTATAGGGATCTCGATTTGTCAGACAAAAAAAAAAAAATCTACAAACATATACTAACAGCAAGTTGGATTTGAAAACAATTGCATCCATTGCATTTTCATTTTTAACTTTAGATATACATATATTTTACATGTATATATAAATGTTTAATATGATAAGAAATATTAATCATTATAAAAATATTGTAATACCGTCAAATCGACAAAAATATGTATTATTACAGTATTTTTCAATCGAAATAAATCACGTTAAAAATATTATGTGAAAATTGAATAACGAATAACATCGTGAACAATAAATTACCAAGCATTTTATCGTTCGTTACCAGCTATATGTGACGCATTTCCAATGTTTCCATTACTCTATATATAGCATGACGTTCTAACTAAACTAACAATTTAAAATTTAAATACCCTATTATGTAGGTACACTTCAATATACGTATAAGCCATGTCAATTGATTCGTTAAACAAATATTATATTATATTTATTGGCGCGGGCAAAGGTTTTAATCTGCACCGTAAATATTCCCTCGATTCATCGCTGAACAGTATTGATATTAATTGTTGACTTTTTTTTGTTGTTTAGTAAATTATTTGCAAACCATACGATTAAAAAAAATATCGAACAGCGTAGATATGGACAACTGCAAAAACGGATACGATAACTCTGCGTGTAACCCAAATGACGATGTCGGTGGAGCACAGAGACCATCGATCGAAATGGACCGTGTGACCGGTACCACGATGAATTCAGTCGTCGTGACCGGATGCTGCGGTAACGGTCTAAACGGCAATAGCAACCATCAGTCAGGCGATCAGTCTCCCGAAGATGGCTCGCCGGACACGTGTCAGCCAAAATGCCCAGCCATCAGATCGTCACCCTGGGATCCACTGAAGACGCGGTTCGTGCTTGTCTTAACCATAGCCATGGTCGCGTGGGTACTGATTGGCGTCATTGTCAAAAACCTGTAAAACGCGAAAAATTACCCCCATCATGATAACTCTCAATCAATTATATTGCATTTTAAACGATGACTTGTCCAACTGTATTACTTACAAATATTATCTATATATTATATCATATGATATATGTCGCATAGGATTCTGTTCGATTAATTAATGTACACTGACGAGTAAATCCACCCAAAATTCTTCTTGACTTTCCCAAAATTGTGCCTGTCTTGTCTCATACGATTTTTAACGATCATAACCAGTTGAAAATTTTTGTATTTCTAATAATATATGACAGAATAAATAATGTATGTTTGTGAGGATAATGTACAGATTAATATTGTTTTCAAAATACATAAATAAAAAGTTATGTTAAAAATTGATTGTATTTAATGATGTTTCATGTCAACTCATATAATGAAAGTTTTTGACCTAAAAAATAAATAAATATTATAAATAATGTACAAAGTAAATAAACACAATGTTTTATTATTTTAGTGTCGATCATGTTTGTTGTTTTTACCTAATACTAAAGTACAAAATACTAGTACAAAACTTCAGATACTACATAACATGGTTCATTTTAAAAATATATTTTTAAATCTGCAAAAGTTTATTTTTTTGTAATATTTACGACTAATTTACGTTGTATATTTTAACATGGTGTATTAACTAATAACTACATAATAATGAATATATTTTAGCATTTTTGTACTGCATATTTTTGCATATTCTTAAGCATTTTAATTTATACTTTATGGTTTAATTTTTCTTAAAAATACTAAATCTAGCTTTAGTAAATTCATAACTTTTTTATAATAAAAACGTAACTTATGTCATTATTATCATCTCAGTGTATTCTCTGTTCTCGTAAGTTATAAATACATTTTATTTAATCTTCTATTTAAATTATAGTTCACACAGTATATAATTATTAATTCCCAGGTTATTGATAGTGAAACCAAAATTAATATAGTATTGTAATGAAAGGAAAATAAGTAAATAGATTAAAAACAGCTGTAACTCTAGTCTTAAATTATTTATATGCTTAAGTGCTTTTTAAGTCTGTATTATTTTAAGATAACACCGAACGCTCATGAATGTCTCTGTCATGCAATAATATTATAACAAATTTATTTGAGTTTAAGAAAACTAATTTTGTGTTGTTAACTTTAAAATTAGAATGAATTTAGTATTTACATATTGTTAAACTTAAGGTAAGAGCATATAATCTAGGACACCTAGTGTCCTCGTAGACTCTTATTAATATTTTAATTTTAAAGCGAGTTATTATCATTTTAAAATTGTTATATTTTACATATTAATAACTTATAACTTAACTAATAACTTATAAGTAATAACTCACTTTAAAATTAAAATATCAATAAAAGACTAGGTACGATAATAGTCTTACCTTTAAGTCCAGTGAAACAACCAGGATATTCTTCAAGGTCCAAGAACTAAAAATATGTTATTATCGTAATATCTAAGAAATACGAATATAAGTATTTAATATTATATTATAGTGCAAAAATTAATCACAGGGTCTAAAATCAGTAAAACTCTATCAATCACTGCTATGGAAATCGCCACAATTATCGGTTACAACTATGTTAAACATTTTGATTATTGATTATTTTGACATTGGATACATTAAGGGCTCAAAGGGGTTGAAAACACTACAATTTATTTATTCATCTTTTAAGATTATTAACTGAATGAGGAATGTATTAGTTTTCATAAATGTGCGATTTTTTTTTTTGCATCCTTTATCACGTTATATGCTTCATATATTATTCAAAGTTGTAGGATGTAGTAAATTCGATCAATTTTGTACTTTAAAAAAATTTAAATTTTAAGAAACTCCCAGTACTTTTCTTAATAATAGAAAAAACTATATCAAAAACAGTGGGAAAACGAGAATTTTATAAATTATTATTTATTTATAATAACGAATTGACGCCACACAATTTTTTACAGAACTAGTTAGAAGTAAATTGTATGCCTATAAATCTTCGAAATGTATAAATTGATTAGGGCAACTTATGAGAAACATTGTACTAAATATTGAATCCGTAGTACCTATAGTTAAAGAGTACTACTTTGGTAGTTACCTAAAAAAATACACAAAACACAATTAAAATATTCCAAGTGTCTCAAAATAGCTTAAAATTAGTCTAAATATTTTTGATATTTTACTGTATATAAAAATGATAGCATAAGTACCTATAATAGTAAAAAGTTTTAAGTTCTTCGACGCTTTTTTTTTAATTAAAATGAATTAACTAAAATTGATAGAGGAAATGCCGTTATTTATCGATTTAACATCTAATCGTGTTTGAAGTTATTAATATTTGAAGTTCAAAAAACTCCTGTAAAAATAAACAATACTATAATTTATAACTAGTTCAAAATAGGATTTTTTGTTTATTATTATTTAAGTACATATTAATACGCAAACACTTTTTTGTAGTACCGATTCCTCTATCTATATACATAATAGGGAAATATAGATAAATTATTGGAAAGATAATGTCGAGTAGAGTTGCATAAAAAATTATTAGCACATATTGTTGCCCAAGACATTTAAAATAAGAATACACTAGTGGCACTATTTTTCCAGTATAGAATACAATTTAAAAATTTAAAAACTGGGAATTTTATAGCGTTATTATTTATTATGAATGTGTTGATTTTACAATCTATAAATAAAATTTTTACAATGGGTGATAGTGATGTGAATGAAAATGTGGTTATTTAGGTTAGCATTGATTTTATCCGTTGATGGAAATTTTATGACGTCCGGATGTATTTATTCATATTATAGCAGGTCGAGGCACCATTTGCAATTCAATCGCCTCTCGGAGTCACTTTGTATAGCGACAACAAATAATAGGTCGGGGATGAGAGGAATCTACATTAGCGTGATCAGAGAGTGAGAGATTCTGTTGTTATTTTTATCTTTTAGTATTAAGAAAGTTTGTAAATAAAGTTATGAAAAGATTTAAAAATTAATTTTAATTCATCGAGGAATTTATTTTGGGCAGGAGTTGTGTAACAAGCTAGGGATGACTTTCTTTATTATTAGCTGCATATATACACTTCAAAGAGTTTTAAACACTTCGCTATTGATGATTGAATTATGAGTTGATTTTGTAAATAGGTAGGATAAGCCATTTTTGATGATGAGTTCTTATGTTATTTTTGATTGAGACCTTTTACGTGGTTTAATCATCGTAATGTGTCCTGTGAATTACTTCACAGATTGTACATTCATTTAGCTGGGAGATCTGTCGATTTTGTAGATCTGAAACATCTTCGAGAGTGGACACAATATATTCTAGAGTGGCAGTTTTGACATTTAGTGATTTTTTGTGAGGTTTTTTAACCTTGTTTTTTGTATGAGGCAAGGAGGTAATGGACATAATCTTGTTGTTTCCATCGGTTTTAAGATCAACACAATGGGTTCTTGTAAAATGATGTTTTTATATTAGCTATAACTTGTAACTTATATTTCTGACAGTGTCTTATATTTCTTATATCGCCAAAACAATATCTTCTACAGGAATAATTGAATATTCATATTTTTTTTTATTTCTTTATTTTCTATGGTTTTTTAGATTAAAGTTAATATCTATAGTATTAGGCATTGATGTCCTTTAGATAGCTAGTGTATTAATACTCTATAATTATCAGATAGTAAGTATCAGATCATCATAAGATCATCATAGTAAGTAACTTCGGTAATCGATACCGGTTGGAGCAACGTAGCGGTTGAAAGTAACAAGTATAACAAGGATTTCTTTAGGTTTTCCGCTAGTAATAAGGGGCAATATTTAGGCAATTTGCAATTTTGCGCCGACGCCATATTAATTGTGTTAATTGTAATCGGAATTAGTGATTAGTGTAGTTGTGGTTGTATAGTGTACGGGTACGGGGCTACCTGACCTACAGGTATATAATATAATATCTTATCCCTGGCTATTTATGCACGTGCTGCACGCTATATGCGAAAACATGTCATCAGCATTCAGCACTGCCGACCAAAACACGCTTTACATGAAAAAGTCTCACGCCTCGTAGAGTGGTCTGATTTCATTAATTTTTTTATTTGTTAGAAGGATGATAATTTTCTTCAAGGCACGTTGTACTTTGATATTTTACCTCGTTGCTTTAAACAAAAATAATTAAAAATACTAGACTTGTGAAAATTTGTGAAAATCGTATTATATGACTTACAAATATAATTTTGTAAATCCAAGTCCAATGCACCCTGTAAGAAGTGTATCTCTTTCTAAAACTAAAAAATCATCGAAATCTTATCACTCTGCAAGGGATGAGAGTTTTTTGTGTAAGGCATATTTTTGAGAAAAAAAAAAGATTCAGTCCCCTTAACGATTTTAATTGGGAATATAGTTATATTGATATTTTCCCATGCCGTCATTATGCCAATATCTTGATTAGATACTTATATTCAAAGGTCACTAAGTGAGCGGTACCAAAAGTTGATGGATAATGAACAGTGGTTGTTAATTAACTAATTAATTATATTACTTTTTTCTTCGTGGTGTAGATGTCAAACTAAAATCCAAGTCCATTTAGTTGAAAACTGGTGCTGCGTGCCTGCGTGTATAGTCACGTTTTCTCGTTGTTTTTTGTTAGTTTTCCCAATTTTTTTTTTTTTGAAAAGTAATATGAATTTCCCAATTCCCAGTAATCAAACTCGGAGTTAAAGTTTGAGGCAAATTATTTACACACTCGCATTACTGTACATCTAATAATTTACTTACTCCGCTCACAACCTAAAATTAATTCTGTATAAATATACAATAGTTATAAGTTTCTACAGACAATTAATTATTATACGTTGATGTATTATTGTTTCGATACTTATAAAATGTTAAATAACAAAAATTAACAAAAAATATTGAAACAATAAATGAATCAATTTAATTGGTGAATTTTATAATTATACATTATAATAATATGAATATAACTACATATTATATGAATATAATTACATTTTATACGTTGTCTGAGAACGTTGTGACTCTATTTAATGGTTGATGAATAGACTATTCTTAGTCTTCTTGTTTAAACATTGGTTGTAAAATTGGAAATAGGTGTTCCATAATAAATTAATACATTTTAATCGGGTTTTTTTAATATTCAAAATGATAAAATGTGGTATTTTTACTGTTTATTGTAACGATTATCAAAATTTTAAGCTATCATAAATATAATTCGTTATAAAGTATTCATACTTATTCGTAATTTTTATTTCTGTTCACTGTACTAAAATAAAGTTTGCCAAGTAGGAGCTATTATAATATTTAACATTGCGGACTTATACAGATTTTATTATCCTTGCACCATTTTAAATTAGTAAATATTTCTGGATTCTGGAACAATTATTTAATTTTAAATAACATCAAAAATATTTCAATATATACATATAATATATTATAATAACAATAATTAGTTAACACAAGATATCATAAAAATATACAATAATAATACCGTAGAAATGCTATACTTGGAGCCAGTGTGTTACTTGGAGAATAATTACAATTTTTAGTATATTAGTGTCAGCGCATTAGCTTTTATCAATAGTACATTTTTTTATTATCTACACGAAATATAATTAAAAAGTACTATGGACCATACTTATAAGAAACTTAAATAATTACTTATAAAATGTATTTTTTATAAAAGTACATGGTATATTATTTTTCTGTATGCTATGTCTAGTTCCTATTTATAAGGCAAATATATGAAAATTGTTAGACTCTAAAAGTTACAGTTATTTTTTTGGACTAAGCGTAACTTATGGGGCAGCACACAATAACGAAATTAATTATTGTTAATGTTATTTTATATATATTATGTAGTATGTTTATTATATTTATTAATTTTTATTAAGAGTAATGACTGAACCACTAGTCACCTTTTTTAGAGGCCAAATAAAAAAAAAATATAAAATCAGATATGTGAGTTTGAACAGTACTTTAATACTTATTTATAAATTTAAAGTAAGGGCAAACTTTTGACACTAAAATCAGCATTCTATGACCATTTGTTATAAAGATATACTTTTAAGTTCAAATTTGGCCCAAGTATGGCACTTCTACGGTAAAGCAGAAACTTCTAAGTTATAATAATCGATATTTAGTGTTCGTAAAAAAATATATAAATAAAAAATAAAAATAAAATGTGTAAAAATAAATTGCTTAAATTCATAAGGTAATTTTTTTCAGTAAAATATACATATAATAAATTGTTTAATAATAAAGTAAAATGAAAAAATCTAAAGAGGTAAAAAAAAGTAAGTATAAAATCACAATATTTCGTTCGAATAGTTTTGTCATACAATTGAATTTACTTTCAGCAGTTGTTTGACTAGAGTTATACGTTGTATAAAATGATTAAATTATGATTCACTTCGAAGAAATAGTACCTATAACTTTAAAATCTATCATTTATTTTAAATAAAGTATTAAAAAAAAGAATATAAAAATAATAAATGAGCGAGTATTATTATGTACACAGTAATACTTTTAATTTATTACTGGAAATTCTTAGTAGGCATCAACCTAAATGGCAACTGAAAATTACGTTTTAGAAACGAATAAATATTATCTATTAAAAATCGGTGTCGTAGTCGGGGTGATACTGCTGAGGTGGTTTCCTCGGTCCAGTAGTATAAGAAGGGTTGGGATTATGATGAGAGCTTGGATAATGATGATGCGATCGTGGGTTTGAAGTTGATGTGGCTTCTCGATGATAATGTCTTCTCTCAGCTCCGTAACCATTTGGATCTGTACCGTAACCATAACCGCTACCACCAGTATAATATCCAGTTTGAACTGGTGTTAATGTCTGAGGCGCCAATGCCGTTGACCGCCAACTATCATAGTGACCACCATGTTGTGTATCTCGATGCTATAATTAATAATTTTTTATTAGGTACATTTAAAACAAATAATAATCTGAAAACCGCAAGCTGCATTGTAAATATTTTCTTAATAATAAACTCGAACCTTTTTCCCTGCAATATTAGGTGGAACTTTGACTTTTTCATGGTCATGGTCGGACCAAACCGCATCCATATCATACAAACGATCCACGTCTTCTAAATCATCTTCATCTAACATCATCATGTCATCATCAATTGCATAATTATCGTAACCATATGAACTGATGTTATAGTTAGAATTGGAATGGGATGGTGGATGATGCATCATATGACGACTTCCAGTAGTTGGACCATTTTTACCCGTGCCATAAATATGTTGATTTTGGTCATCAGAAATCATTGACGCTTGCAGGGTTGGTGGAGGTACTTTTTTATTGTTTTTATTACGACTTACGAGCTGTAAAATGTAATAAGACAATATTAAAACGTTGATATTTCCTGAGTATAATATTTTGAAAACATATAAATACCACTGTTATGCCAAATATTAATACGAAAAGTAATGAAGCCAGGCCAATAACCATGACAGCTACAGCCCATTGTGGTAACCACGCGTCATCAGTTCCAGCGGTTGCTGTCACAGTTCTGGTGGGTTTAGGCAATACTGTTAAAAAAAATGTTTTATACTAGTTATAATATGATAAACAATATTACAGGTGTATTAAATGAACATAATACAACGATCTTTACCTATAAAATCTGTACGAGCTGGGTCAACAGTAAACCTTCCTAATTTTAAATAAAGTCCTTCATAGTCACCACCATTTCCGTATTGTAATGGTTGTGCTGACGATCCTAGATTTCCTTCTTTTTGTAATGTTTCGTGAAATAGACGTCGAATGTCAGCGGTACTGACTGTACGTCCAAGTTGATTAAGCTGTACGAAGAAATCAACAAGAACCCCAGCATTTTTATCAGATTTTCCATCACTGATTGCATTACTTCCAGGACTAGTATACAAATTTAAGCATAAGTTAAAATAACTCAATATTTTTGTACCTATATAATTTGGTAAGTTGATGATAAATTGTAATATCTACACCTATGTGATAACTTATCATATAATATAGACTATAATATATTTGAAATAAATTCATCAGAAATTAAAATATTTAAAATTTAAATTATACTAAAAACATTAACTTCAATAAATAATTAATTTGAGGTGCAATAATTTATATTACTTGTAGTTATAATCCTTGAAATGGAAATAAAAAAACTATTTATTATTACCTACTTTATTAATAGGTAATCGTTAATTTGTATATCTTTATTTAGTTTATATATTTTAATAATTTTTATCTTAATAGTTAATACCTAAAACATTTTTACAATTTGTTTGCTTGAACATAATTTATACACATACCTGAATGAATCGATGGTTATTGTCTTATACCATTTGCTCAATGCTGGTGATTTACTGTATACTTTATCCAGCTATAAAATTAATTAAACAATTTGTATGATGTAAACTGTAGTAATATTATATAACTATAATATATTTACCTGAGTTTCAATTTCACTAGCTAATAACCTCCATTCTGCAGTATTGTGGTCTAATAACTCGGGTACCCATTTCTCTGATCCAGAACCCACTATTCTCACTGTACCAACGAGTTCACATACTGAATCACTTTCAGAACACTGGCCGGGTGTTGTAGTTGGAGGTGGTTTCATAGTAGTTGTGGTAGTAGTTGTAGTCGTTGTAGTGCTAGTGGTTGGCTCTAAAGTAGATGTCATAGCTGCCAATTCAGCTGCTTTAGATTGTAGCAACAATTTTTCGATAGATAATGGCGTTGTTGATGGAGTAGACCAGCCTGTAAACTCAGTTACAACCCTAAAAAATTGATTAAGTTGGATTTAAATAAATAATAATATAGTAAAGAAACAACCTTAAATTCTTGAATATAAATTACAATTACCTAACTGGCCATCCCTTTTGAATAGTGGGTGCTACAGTAACTGCAGCTTGCATTTTTTTACTAGAAGGCAATGGTTTCCTGGTTCCAGAGCTATTTGTGCCTTTTCCACTATTGGGAAAAACTATTCCTGATGTACTGCTAGTGATTGTTGTCGTTGAAGTAGTTAATGGGACGTTAGTCGTTGGGACAACTGTTGTCACAATCGATTCTTGTTCTTTATTTTTATTAGAGGTTTCAACATTTTCAGTTGGGAGTTTGAATCCTGGTGGTAGTAAAGAAGGTGACAAGATTTCAACAGGTTTAATAGCATCTTCTAATTTAAATCCTGGTGGTAATAGCGAAGCTAATGCTGACGAATCATCAACAAATTTAATATTCAAACCTGATGATTTTGCTTTTGTAGTAGTTGTACTGGGTGTAGTATTAGTAGAAATACTACTACTACTACTATTTTTTGGCTGAGGGCTACTAATGTTATTAGTAACTGGAGAAGGTATTTCAGTTGTAGTTGTGGTTGAAATAATCTTAGATTTGTATGCTGGAGGTGGCTTCGGGTTAAATCCAGCTGGAAGTAATCCACTACCTAATAAATCATCAAATTTAACAGAATCTATTAAACTCTTTTTCTTTCCGATTTGAATTGAAGGTTTGACTGTGCTAGTTGAAGTAATAGAAGAAACGGTAGAAGTTCTCTGTTTAGAAGGTACGAATTTTCGTACAAATGTGGTTTCTTTATCAGAATCGTCAGATTCTTCTTCTTTATCTTTTTCTTCTTCTTCTTTATCCTCGTTTTCGTCTTCTTCTTCTTTTTCAGATTTTGTAGTGGTACTAATATAATTGGTAGTACTGGGAACACTAGTAGTACTAGACGACACAGTTGTGCTAGTAGACATGGTAGTGCTAGGAGAACTGGAAGTGATAGTGGTACTTGTAGTAGTTGGGGTCATTGTGCTTGTTATAGTCTTAGTTGTTTTTTCAGTAGTCGGAGTTGTAAACGATGATATAATTACATCATTTCGTTTATCATCATTGTTACCGTTACTCTGCATATCTGTCAAAATACGGCTACCATTATTTGTATTGGAAGAGCTACCATACAATATACCATTTGAAAGTTCCGATTGAACTCTATCTAATTTATCAATAATACTTTCTACTGTCGTTGTACTGGTAGTTGTTATTACAGGTTTATTATTAAATCTATGTTTAGTTGTAGGAGTAGGTGCTGTCGACGTAGTTGACTCTTGCACAGAATTGTTCTTATTTGTTCCACCTCCTACCATTGACGACGATGATGAGACTGATCTACTAGTTTGTACACTTGCGACTACAACCCAACTTTCAGTAGTTGCTATTACACTATTATTATTTTTTTGATTTATTGTTACCGTGGACGATTGATTTACCAATGGAAATTTAGTATGCTTTTTATTTAATGGTAATTCAGTTGTTGTATACGATGTTGTTGTGTGTTCTATATCTTCATATTCTTCATATTCGTCTACTATTTGTTGTTCTGTAGTTGTTGTGGGGGCCATTGTAGTAGTACTTGTTGTTGTTGGTTTTCTAGTGGTTATACTTTGAATTATTGCTGGGTTGTTCACAATTTTTTTCATTCGTTGTTGTTGTTGTGGAATCAAAGTCGTTAGAGAATTAATTCTTGGTCTCAGGGCTGTTCTCAATGTAGTTATTGGAACTGGAGGGGGTTGTGTTGTTGTAGATTTTCGTGGTTGAAACTGACGTTTCTCTTCCACAGTTTGTTCTTCTTCGTCTTCCTCTTCTTGTTCATAATCTAAAGTATTCATTGTAGTAGTAGTTGTAGAAAACAAGGACGATTTTCTACTTCTTACAGTAGTTGGTTGCTGTCTATTAACTGTTCCAGATAATGCTGAAGGTTGCTGGGGTGCAGATCGTATTGTGGTGGAAGAAGATGCTACAACAGATAATGGACTAAATGTGGTAGGCCGACGATTTATCACTGAACCTGAAACTACTGCAGGTTGGTTTCTATTTCGAAAAGCAGCGGGTCCAGGTTGTGGCCTATGTGTAGTAATTATTGGTTGAGACCACGATGCTCGATCATCATTCTCATCATGTACCACAGTAAACCCAATGGCGGCTGGTTCTTGTTGTTCTTCTAGGTTAATAGTTGAAGATGGCTCTGTTGTAGTTATGGGTCTTCGCTTAGCCAGTTGTGGTTGACCACGTCCACGTTTTGGTGGCTGGTTTTGTCTTTGATGGACTAATTCAACTGTATCGTCGTTTGTGTTAATTCCATCTGCTATATCGTCATCGCTTACAGCCACTGATTCTGCGTCAGCCGTTGTAGGGTTCCACCATCTAATGGATCCTGTTGGTGGAGGATTTCTAGAAACTGGTATAACTCCGTTAGTTTGAGACAAAGGACGACGAGGAGAATCACTATTAAAACTCTCTTGGCTTCTTGGTTGTTGTAATATTAACGTGGGCTGTGCATTTTGACGTTCATCAAAATTATCTGTGGAATCTGGTTGTTCCGTGCGTTGCTGTTGTAAAGTTGGTCGAAATCGTTGTTGTTGAGAGCTACTTGGAAAAAAATTAAACTGCTGTTGTGTTTGTGGTTGTTGTTGTTGTTGTGATGGTGGTAGAGGACGCTGTGGGGCTTGTTGAAAGAATGACGGTGGAGAAACAGCATCAACAAAGCTTAAAGAACCAGGGTTTCGAAGTGGTTGAAACTGTGTTTGCTGTCCATTTAAAATAAATGGTTGGACATTCGGTGGTCGTGAAAATGGTCCAGAATTTGTAAATGTTCCTGTTGGAAGCTGTTGTTGAGATGAAAAAAAACTCGATGAACTAGGATTAGGTAGTGGTAAAGGGTCAGCAGAAGCTAGTCTACGTTGAGGAAAATTCAGGTCAGCACTATTTGTATCTTCCTGAAATTGAACTCGAGGTAAAGCAAAATTTCCATTATTGGACGAAGGCGAAAAAAATCTCTGCTGTTGACCTATAAACAAACATAAAATGTATAAATTATTTCTGTTTGTTGTGATAATTTTAAACAATAGCATATAACAATAGAAAAAACGTAATTGACATTTTAAGTATGTGTATAAATTATGAAAAAACATATTGGTCAGTTATTATAAAATTATAGGTCACATCATAACGTTTAACTTAAACTTATTAAAGAATATTATTTCAAAAGAATAATATCTAAACTGGTAAAACGCACGTGTATTTTTTTTAATAGAGGCACATAGAGAGAGTCGTGATGGAATTTCACTTGCAGGTGAAAATAATCACATCATATATTCCAATAGTGTGTATACTGTATACTTTATATACTATGTGTAATAATAAGTTTCGCTCGTTATAAATAATATACCATAGATGAAGATAGATAATTAGTACCTAGTAAATATGAGAATAATTCATATTGTACAGTTAATTTTAATTATTTTACAAAATTGCATTTATTATTGTATATTTGATGTACAAATTAAAGTTACCTAGGTACATTGTACCTAAAATAGTGAACTAAAATAATTTCTAAAAGAACAAAGTTGATAATATTGTAAAATGTTTATTTGTATTTTTAAAAATATCTATATCATTTACGAATATTTACTTCAAATGTTCCTAAAGCATACTATATAGTTTATGTTAGATAAAATAATTTATCATAATTTTTTTTATTTTATTGTTTTACTAATATTGGTTATAAAATACGATAATATAAATAGTACATACACTAGATATACAGTACACACTGAACACATACACAAAATACAAATATATAGTTTTTAAGGTATAATTTTGAAAGCATAAATAAACTAGAACTATAAAATATAAAGTGTTTGTTTAAATTAAACTTTGTTAATTTGACACGAAAACTAATTGAAACTAGTATACTATTCATATTGATATATAACTTAGATAAATTTCAGTTAATAAACATTAATGAAAAAAAAAATAAGAAGTTACAAGTTCATCAAGTTTTATATTTATTTATGTTAAATGATAATGTAATTTAAGCTTAGAAAATTGAATATTTTTAAAATAGTTTAAATAAGGTTTTAAAATATTATGCGATCTAGGTAGGTACGAATTATTAGTAATATAAAATCAATAAGTAAAATGATATTAGACAATTTGCATTATAAAATACAATTTTAGCACAAATATTTATTTATTGTTTATGTTTAATTTACTTGAATAGTTAAGATAAAAAATCGTTTTATAAAATTGCGAGATTAAATAGAAATATTGACTTTGTATATTTTGTTATGTCTTACAAAAAAAGATACCATTGGACAAATTTTAACAATTTTAACAAATATTATTACTATATTAGTACTTATTTTCATAAAGCTACATACCGTTCTTCCCAGGTTTCTACCTATAATTTAAGCCATAATATACTTTATAGCATTTTTTGGTATTTTAATTGCCTAATATTCGTATGCATATTTTGAATATTTTTAGTGCGCATATCAAACTAAAATTATTAACATAACGTATAGGTTATACAACCGATGTATAAGAAAAATTACTAATTATATGTTTGTATAAATAATAATTAATAACTTCATTGTAATAATTACATTATTGAACAAAATTAATGAAATATTTTTAAATTTAGATAGTTAAAACGTAAGTCTATCCATTAAATTTCCATATAAATATAAAGGAAATAAGTGTAACAGCAAGTACTAAGTAATACACATTAGTTTATAATTATAAATTTGCACAAAATGAAGATTATTTACATTGATAATAATAAATAATATTCAATGATTTAATAATTAATAACGCATTTCTTTCAAAAAATCTTTATATTGATAAGTATGTATAAGTACTAGCTTATGTATAGTTATACATTAAATTGTTAATAACTATATGTATGATGTATAACATATATTAACTGTAACATAATTAACGTTTTCCATAAATACTAAAAAAGTTATTATTCAAAAATTAAAGATAACAAATTCAAAATGAGTGTCAACTGGTATCAAAATATTCACACATAATTCAATTGTTATCATAAATATTAAATATTATCAAAAGTATTCCCAATAGAACTTAATAGTACCAACCAACCATTATTAGTATAATATTATGCATATCCTCATCTCTATCCAATAACAATAAATAATTGAAGATAATATATTATAATTTCCTGCCATTCATGGTGCTTCAAAATACTTAAAAAGTTTAAAATTTTATTTTGTTCTTTTATAATATAATCATATGTTTACCATGGTACCTACCTTATGACTCACAAACTGCGTTGTAATATTGTTTTAAAATATGCCGAAATAATAAAAATCAATACATTACCTACTACTTTTAAATTGAATATTATTATAAACGTTTATTTACAAGTTGATGACATTATAGTGTGTTAATTCTTTGATAGTAATTTCACGCCAATTATATTTTACTACTGGTGTTTTCATTATGAGACTATACTGTGATAACGGATCTAAATTTCACAAGCTAAATCACGTTTATGTGTAGAAAGCTGAACATGCCACCTATCAGACAAAATTCCAAAATAATTATAATATGTATAAAAAAACATAACGTTTTAAAATTTAAAGAAACATATCATAATAAATAATAAAATTAAATCTAAGAATAAATTGTATAATATTATGTTGTTATTGCATTACTCTTATAATATACTATATAGCTATTTATATCACTATCCGACGATATAATTTTGTTGAAAAATGTACATTCAAGGATACGCAAATTATTAGCATAGGGAAAAAATATCATTATACTAATTTACTTAAGTAGTAAACTAGGAAATTAATAATATGAATGATAAACTATAAGTAGATTATAATAAACAGAAGTACCTATATTAGATTTTTGATAAACGATGATAACTGATTTTGGTAATTTGGAGTGAAATATGAAAAAAATGTATATATGGACAATGTTGCAATATTTTGACATTAAATTATTAATATCAATATATAAAAAAAACATTTAATAACATTCAATTCCAAACTATACATAACATATATTATTTTATATGGTGTACATACAATAGGTATACGTATATATTACTTATTATGGTAACTATATTTTTTATATTATATTTAGTTACTTTTATAATATAAATTAAGAAATTTGAATGAAATATAATAATAGTGATAATAATCATTATTATTGTTATTATTATAGTTGCCCTATATTATTAAATACCAAGTGAAAGTGCGATAGACGAAGGTTACTGCATCACCACAAACAAATGTTTAACAACAACGGTGCGACTGTTATTATAAAACTTTATACGCATACCAGTTAAAATTGTAATATATAATATTAATATATTACCTATTATTCATATAGACTTTATATAATACCAAACCTATAGCTATTGTTAAAAATATAAAATACCGTTTAGTTTTAATAGATGTAAATTTCGATAGCACGTGCGTTCATAATAGAAAAATGTATCCCCTCGAGACATTTTATAAATCTTATAACAACAGAAAAACCCAAGACGAAAACGATAATAATGGATGATGATTGTATATTGATTTCAAATGGACTGGCTAAATAAAAAATTTAAATCGATTTTCAGAATGACCGCATGCTGGCGTGGAATAGATAGGTACTATAGTTGATATTATATGATATAGGATATTTCCGACCACCCAAAGACGATTACAATAAAATCTAAAAAATAAAATAAAATCAACGACTTTAGTTATTACAATCGCGGAGCAATTAAAACGGCTCGCTGGTCACAGCCGGAATTAATTGCTCTTGCCTCTGTCTCGGTTTATTATGAATTATTATATTATACTACAATATCAACTCCGTTTTGTATTATATGAATTAACGGCAACCAGAATCCTTTAATGCGAAATCCTAATAACAATAATAATTAATACTTTTAACGGTTTAATGTTCGGCGTAGACACATGTTTTTGACCTTTTTTTTAGTACAACTGACATATATGCATTTGCATATTATAAACAGTAATACAATATAAAATACATTATACATTTAAAATGGTAAGATATTATAATAATTTCACTTTACTTAGAATACAATTTATCTTTTACTAATTGTCTATAGTTTTCTTTTATATTTACTATAAATTAGAAGTAGGTACAGTAAATAAATTGAAGTAGGTAAATCCTTAAATGCTGTGTTGTATGTTACAATAATTAAAAAAGGAAGTGGTTGTATTTCACAACTACTGTTATAACTACTTGTGAGTTTGGTTTGTTCTTATAGTAGTCAAGGTTGTTCGGTTACTAAAAATAATTACTTAATATTTAAATTATTGTATTAGCACTATTACTGTAAACCGGTATTAATATCATATTATAAATTAATTTAGGTATTGTAGATTATTCTATAAATTAATAAGTTTCACATCCAGAAATTATCGTGAAATAAAGTGCTATAGTTTTTTTTATAATCCTACACACTTTGTATATATTATACCTATTCATATGGCGTAAACTTTAAGTTGTTAATGATTGCATTTTAAGTCTTGCAAAACTTTAAAACTGTTACTTATTTTGTAAGTTATCAATCTATATTTACGTTTATTTGAAATAACATGTACAACATTGACATTGAAATTTGTATAAGTACTTACAAACCCATCTCAATACAACTATAATCCTTATTTTTTGCAAAGAACATTTTACACTCTAAAATTTCATTGTATTTTGCGTAATTGAATTTAATGTAGATAGTTGTATATACAGGAAAATATAAGAATACAAACACCTTTATACCTCCTTAAAGTTTAGCAACACCGAATTCAATCGATTAAATTGATCTAATATACCTGCAGTGCCAAGACTGATTCGACTGACAGTTATAAAATAAAGTATAATGCATTTTGACATTTTTACAAAAATAATTTGTACATTTTATCAACATCTATCATCTTTTATTTCATCTAACCACTTGTGTCAATTATACCGGATTGTTATGGCGATCGCCAATCTATAATGTAA